TTTAGAAACACCATGTTTATTTCAACATATTTTCACCAAAAACCCATCTATCCAATTTGTATAGATTTATGAGAAACATAGATATCCGCACTGTTTAGAAACCCAGTTTGAAGGTGGGATTTTTTGGAAAATCGGTTATCTCACTTTTAATGCACTGTTGATTTCATAAAAGTTACCTAATTTTCCTAGTAAAGTTTTTCTCCACCAAACAACTTTTTTTTACATTTTTCTACCTATCTCACTTTATCTCACTTTCCAATCATTTCTCTATCTATCTCATTTTCCTACTATTCTAAAAAAATTTCCTCAACCAAACGCCCCCTTAATGCAAAAGATCCTCTCACCATTGTTAAACATATCTCCGTCCTTTTAAGAGGAGGGCATTTATGTCCTTTGACTCTCAAAAACTCTCCTAAGTCATGAAGTGAAATGCTTCTTTCCACACTGCGGCAAAAAAGTTTAATTATTGTATTTTAATTAAATAATTTTGTATTTATTGCAGTTTTAGAAATAATTACGGATCTATTGCACAACGTGACACTTTTTTTGGGCGTCACATGTGACGCCTCATTTAGGCATCTCTCACCTGAGGGAAGACGCCCCAATGGGGCGTCTCTCACCTAAGGTAGACACGTGTCATTTTTTTTTCTAAAAAAAATAATAATTTAATCATAAAACTTCTGAAGGCCATAACTTTTGACTCGGGTATCCAATTCAGGTAATTCTTTTTTTGATTCCACATAATTTTTCAAGATCTACGCAATGACATCTCATTTGATATATTTTATTTCTCACAAACATAATTTAATTTGTTTTTTCAATACAGATTTTTCACATTGATTTTTGAGTTTAAATCATAAATCAAATCTTTATTTTGTTTTCGTTATTAATAATAATTGTTACTTTTAATTTGAATCACAAAACCAAATTTTTTTTATAATAAAAATAATTTTTTTTTTAAAATTAAATGACACATCAAATCTTGATTTATTTTTTATATTAAATAATAAACACAGAACTCAGAGACTTTCCGAGTTTAAAAATGTGACACGTGTCAACACCTGATATGTCACCAATCACGTCTAAATTGAGTTTCAATCAAGAGGCAATCACGTCTAATTTAGGTAATTTTATTTTTGAAAAACCTTCATAAGTCATCATTAATTTCAGACCACGAATAATAACCCAGAAGCTTATATAGCATTAATCATTAATTTCAAAAATAATATCATTCTTCCTTAGAGATTTAGAATATTTATTTAATTATTTTCTTTATTTCTACAGTTTTTTCAAATTGATTTTTTAGTTTAAATAACAAATCAAATCTTTATTTTGTTTTCCTTATTAATAATAATTTTTATTTTTAATTTAAATCAAAAACCTAATTTTTGTTATAATAAAAAAAAGTATTATAAAAAAAAATTAAATCACAAATCAAAATTTTTATTTAGTTTTTTTATATTAAATCACAAACCCAGAACTCAGAGGCTTCTTGGTTTAACCGCTCTTATAATACCATTCTTGCAAATTAAAATTGTGTTTGTGAGAAATAAAATATATCAAATGAGATGTCATTGCGTAGATCTCGAAAAGTTATGTGGAATCAAAAAAAGAATTACCTGAATTGGATTCCCGAGTCAAAAGTTATGGCCTTCACAAGTTTTATGATTAAATTATTATTTTTTTGAAAAAAAAAATGACACTTGTCAACCTTAGGTGAGAGACGCCCCATTGGGGCGTCTTCCCCTAGGTGAGAGACGTCTAAATGAAGCGTTACATGTGACGCCCAAAAAAGGCGTCACATTGTGCAATAGATCCGTAATCAAGGAAGCACGGACACTTGTAAAAACAGGAAGAGTCGGGTCTGACACGCTCCGATACGGCGACACGCTCCGACACGGTGTCGGACACGCGGTTGACTTTTTCCGACACGTTGACCATTCCGACACGCGAATTTGACCGTGTCCGACACGGTCAAATGGCATTTTCGTAATTTTTTTTTATGTTTTTTTTAATTTTTTTTAAAAAAATTTATTTTTTTAAAAAGTTAAAATATATTAATAAAGCTTCCACCTGATCATATCAATTTTATCTTTTTGTTTTTTTTCACTTAAGTAGATAAGAGAACATCTCAGCATCATTGTTGTCAATTCCTATCACGCTCTTGTTGTATCTTCTTCTCTCTGATCTCTCTCTAATATGATTTGATCTCTATATCTGATATTACATCTCTCTCATTCCAGTTCTTATTTTTTTTATTAAAGCTTTCATCTTTATAACGTGTTTGGTATTATTAATTTAGTTTCATTTTTTTGTTAAATTATTAAATATTAAATGAAAAATACACTATATAAATTAAAAATATTATTTAATATTAAAACGTGTTCCAACGTGTCGAAATCCATAATTTTTTAAGATTGACGTGTCGGAGTGTCGTGTCGTGTCGTGTCACGTGTCGCGTGTCGTATCGGTGCTACATAGTCTGTAATTATTTTCAAAACTGCAATAAATCCGTAATTATTTAATTAAAATGCAATAATTAAATTTTTTTGCCACACTTCAGCTTCTTTCCACGGAGAGCAACACATCTAGAGCAACGACCATTTTTGGCACGTTACTCGCAAAAAATTCTCAAACTCCTGTCAGCATGCTTAAAGGACCTAGCTATTTAGTAATTGTGCCGGGTTTTGTTGGTATTTCTTTTATTTTTTTGGAGCTGCATCATTCTCTATCGGTAATCTGTAGTAACTAACTGCGGATCGATTTCCACATTTAAAAAAAGTTCTTTGATTCTTTTGATTTTTCATTAAGAGAGAGAGTCAAACTAAAATGATTTTTTGGAAATGAATCATTTAGGGTGTGCATGACAACCTTCTCAAAATCAATTCATTTTTAATTTCTGTTTCTGGGAACAGGAATGGATCAAAAACTCGTTTGGTAAAATCGGTTTATTTTTTTGTTCCCGGGATAAACCAGTTTAATTTTTGTGCTATGGAACATGAAAAAGAATAAAAAAAATTCTGTTTTTTTATTTCCGGGCACAAAATGATAAACATTTATCTCTCTTAATCACTTTCCATCTCTACCATCATCACCACCACCACCATCATCACGACACGACCACCGCCACCATCGTCGCCGCTGCTGCCGTACCACTAGTGTCGTGATCACCACCCCCCGCCACCACGATGCCACCGCCACCGCCACCATCACCACCACCTCCACTCATTACTACCACCACCGTCACCACCACCACAACTACCACCGTCGCCACCACCACCACCATTATCACCACCACCATCTCCACTACCGCGCGCTATCAACCACCACCACCATCATCGCAACCATTGTCGTCACCGCCACTATCGCCATCACCACACCACTGCCACCACCACCATCACTGCCACCCCCACGACGCCACCACCACCATCTTCACCACTGTCACCAACTACCACTACCGTCACCACAACTGCTGCCGCCGCCACCAACCACCACCACCCCCACCCTTGCCACTACCATCACCATGTTATTGCCGCCACTACCATCACCATGTTATTGCCACCACCACCATCACCATTGTCACCTACCACCACTGCTGCAGCCACTGCCACCACCACCACCACCACCACGATGCCATCACAACCACCACCACCACCATGATGCCATCACAACCACCACCACCCTGCCACCGCTACCATTGTCGCCGCCACCAACCACCATCCCCCACCATTGTTGCAGCTACTGTTGTCACCTCCACCACCACCACCATCCCCACCACTACCACGCCGCCGCCACCATTATCACCGCCATCGCTGCAACCACTGTCGTCATAATCACCACCACTACTATCATCACCACGTCACTGCCACCACCATGCCACCTACTGCCGCCACCACCACCACAACCACACCATATGAAAAGGACAGTGATGATCTGAATTTTTTTATATTTAATAGAAATTATTTTTTATTATTTTACTTGTTATGTTATCGAACACAATTCTCATTCTCGGAATAAAAATAGTACATGTTATCAAACACATTGTTTTTCTCAGAAACGTTTCCAAGGCACAGAAATAGAAAAGAATTGTTTCTTTTTAGCAACAGTGCTACGGAATAGAATGGTTGTCATGCACACCCTTAAACAACATAGTTTTTATTTATGATGCATCGACATTTTAAAAAATATAAAATGTCAACACTCTTTAACACTACCCAATACTTCAAGCACTGTGAATGGGGGTTGGTTCAATTCAATATATTGCATTGTGATCTTTAATTGGTAGGTTTTATATATATATAAATAAATATCATTGTAAACTTTTTTTTAAAACGTGTGACATATATCATGACTTTAAAATTGGTAACATCTCCTTCACTTAAAAAAATTCTTTAGATTGAAGGAGAAAAAAACAAAAGTAAAAGCATGAAATAAGTTACCAAAAAAGCATGAAATCAAATCTCGAAGGTTATGCAGGCCGTAGCATTTCTATAGCAAATTGCAATTGCAGTTGTACAGTAATTAATATATATATATATATATATATATATATATATATATATATATATATATATTATATGCTGGGGTTATGAAATTGCTATATATGCACAAAAGACAGTGAAAGAAAACCGCGTCAATATGATGCTTGTATATATCCATATTTTACGTAAAAGCTAGTAAGCAATTTGAAAGCATTGAAGTTTTGCGTTTTTTTTTTTTCCTTTGGTTTGACTCAAGTTTTGGCATAAGCTTTTATTAAAGCATGTGACATATCCTAACTCTAAACTCTGTAACCTTTCACTATAAGTTTTTCTTTTCACACGTAACAGCTAACCTTTATGTATACAAACAAGAAATACCATCTAAAAACTATACACCATTGAATCTCTTTCGCGTCCCACATCAGCACACACTCTACATATAAATATATGGTTTCCATTGTTAATAAACACACTCAAAAAACAGAGATAGAACCAATTAACACTGTGCCATACACAAAAATGAAGTTCGCCATTCTTACATTCTTTTTTGTCCTTCCCATTGCATTTGCTAAACTCGAGATTGGATTCTATGCCCCAACCTGCCCAACAGCAGAGGAAATTGTTCATCAAGTGGTTCAAAGGAATTTCAAAAGTCAAAAAAACATTACAGGAGCCCTGCTTCGAATGCACTTTCATGACTGTTTTGTCAGAGTAAGACCTACATTACCCACACTATACTCATAATTTTCATCATCTTAATTAGTTTCCACTTACAAAAACTAATTTTTTTCTTCTTATTAACAAATTGGTTTTCAGGGTTGTGATGCCTCAATATTAATAGACCCAACAGAGGGCAACAAATCAGAGAAAGATGCACCTGCAAATAAAAGCGTAAGGGGATATGAACTTATTGATGAAATAAAGAAAGCCTTGGAAAAAGAATGCCCTTCAACGGTTTCATGTGCTGATATCATAACACTTGCAACAAGAGATGTTGTGGCTATGGCCGGAGGACCAAGATATAGTGTTCTCACTGGTAGGCGTGATGGGTTGGTATCCAATTCTTCTGAAGTGAACATTCTAGGACCAGATTCTACAGTGCCAGAGGCATTGAAATCTTTTGTCGAAAAGAACATGACACTGAGTGAAATGATTACCCTTTTGGGAGCACACACTGTTGGTTCTGCTCACTGCAATTTCATTCAAACGAGACTCTCTATTCTTCCAATAGATCCTGTTTTGCATGCTAAGCTCATGCAGATATGTGGGCCAGCCAATACAAGCAAGGATCACACAGTGTTTTTGGATCAAAACACTTCTTTTGTGTTTGACAACGAGTTCTACAACCAAATCCTTTTGAAAAGAGGGGTGCTTTTCATTGATCAGCAACTTGCTTTGGATCCTTCCTCGAGTGGCTTAGTCTCAACTCTTGCTCAAAATGATGCAGATTTTCAGCAAAGCTTTGCGGATGCTATAATAAAGATGGGAAGCATTGATGTTTTGGTTGGAAAAGATGGAGAGATTAGAAAAAACTGCAGGGTTTTTAATAGTGGTTAAGAGAAGTTTAATGATATTTAATGTACAAGGATTTATAATAAATATCTTGCGCTTATTACTTACATTTATGTTTCTATTTTTATAAATTTATAATTGTTATTATTAATATTTGACATGGAATATGTAATTTAATTAAAAAATATTACGAAATTATTTTATAAAAATCTTTAAATATTTGTAATGTGCCAGTGAATAATTAATTCAAATATCGCATCACTGTTGTAGAATGAAGGTTTTCGCTAGCAATTAATACCTTTAACTCTTACCAAGAAAAAAACAAAAAACAAAAAACCTTTAATATATATATATATATATATATATATATATTTTGAATAAATGACATCCTATAGTTTATTATGGCGCAAAATTACCTTTTTATACTATTAATGTATTAAATTAAATTAAAAAATAAATTAACTCACAGAGTCACACCCAAACTTTTAAAACGTGATACGTAATTATGACGTGTAATAATCCTACGTTGTCTTAATGTCGAATACTTCAATACAGTGAATTACAATTTACAAATATCATTGCTTTAATTATTGTCCCAAGATACCTACATTTTCTTTTCATTTGTGTTTCTTTTTGTCATGGTATTTATGCTCATCCAATTATGTTTCCCTCCCGCAAGAATGTATCTCAGAATGGCTTTTTATGCAAAAGCTTAGATTCACACCTATCTCAAACCCTTATCATATTTTTATTTTTATATGCCTTTCTTTTCTTCTTTTGATATTGATTTTCTATTCTCTTTTATTAATTAGGATATCATGTTACAACAATCTTTATATAAATAAGAAAATTATAAATCAAGGAAGGCACAATTTTTTTTTCAAGAATTACTTTTTTTTTTTTTGGAGTTACCCAACCCTAATTATCTCTTTGAGACGAGTTGGCTCCCCCCCCGGTATCCCCACGAGCTTCGACTCTTTGAGCCGGCTATGGGACTAATCCGGAGTGCGGGGGAACAGTGATGACTAAAGGTTCAGCCCCCTCCCCAAGCAAGAATCACTTTCTATCTCGTATTCTCTTTTTATCCGATTCTGTATATACTTTCCCTCTTCTTCGTTGTCTTTATCTTCTTTCTTGATTTTCTTCCTAATTTATTTCCTGTTCTTTGCGTACTCCCCGAGATGGTAGTTAAAAACTAGTTTTGAAATTGTAATTTTATGTTTTTAACATTTTTTTCATCAAAATATTTTCATCAAAACTTCAAGCGCTTTTTTTTTATGATATCTTAATTACGATTTTAAGATTTATGATATTTTATTCCCCTTCCGTTTTTAGATAAAAACTCGATTTTAACTACCTTGCTCCCCTAATCTTCTTTCTTTCGATTTTAACTTTCTTTTTCTTCGATCTCTAATAATGATTGCTACAAATGGTGCTTACTCTTCCTCCAAATGGCCATCTATTGTTGCGATCACGGCAAGCATACCGGTCATACAAATAATAAAGTGATAAATAGAGTTATCGTTCTCACGAGGATTGACCTATCAAGCATTAAGTTCACTACAGGAGTAAAGTTGCATCGATAGTCAAAATTGTTGGGAATATGATTTAAATATAAAATATGAACCTAGAGCTAAAAATAAAGAACGCAAAACAGAAAGTCAGAACCGAACACTAATAACTCAAAACGTAGCTAGGGTGTCGATTTTCCCAATTTCATCCTAATGAATCTACCCTTTCCCGCAATTAACATTCAATCTCTTGTTTGACAATTCTTCAAGATTAATTAAAACTCAATCCGTTGGTGTTTCAATTCTTTACCCTATTAAGAATCCTAATCCCTTAGTGATCCCGTCTAAGGCAAGCATTAAGAACGAAGAATCAAAAGAGTCATAGATTCCACAAGTCTATCCCAGATCAAGAAAAATCTAGCCATTAATCTAGTTAGAATACTACACCAACATTCCTATTATCATACAAGATTCATGTGTTCATCTATGAGTGATCAGTTCATAAAAAAATTAGGAATGAAAATCAAATTAATTGTATAACATAAAGATTGAACATCAATTACAAGGAAAGAGTAAATAATATTAAGAATCAAAAGGTTCCATTTAACCCTAACTACAAAAAGGAAACTAGCCTAACATAGTCATAGAAACTAAAACAAGAGATGAAAAACTAATGAAAAACATAAAAGAACTCAGTCGTTGATCTCTACGATGAAGCTTCGATCTTTTCCTCTGCTCCCCAGGTCCAAAATAGAGCCTTCCCCTCTGTTAGGGCGTAGAAAATCATCTAAGAATAAAAACTAATTGCCATTTTTTATTCCTTTTTTTTTTTAAGTTCCGTTAGCTTTTCTCTATGACGTTGGTCGCTGATTTGCGCGTCGAGCATTTTAGCGAGATAAATTCTCCAGGTTGCTGCATCGAGCAAACCATCAAGCAAACTTGTAACATTGGTTGTTTTGATGTCTTCTCGCTGAATAACTCGTTGGAGCGAGAAACGTAGCTAGATGCAACGTGAAATAACTCCTTTGGCTTCCATTTAGCTTGAATTTGACTGCTTTCGGCTTCCTTGATCCATCAATGCTCAAATATAACAATTTTAACTTGAAATTGATACATTTTACAGTCAGTGTCTTACCAAGTATAAAAACTAGAAAAGTCTTTTGCATCTAAGATAATTGCTATGTCTTTAACCGTATTAAACATTATTTAGCATACTTTTGGTCCTAAAGACATAGTATAATTGACACTTAACAAATCATTCCTAAATTTAATCATTGTTGTCTCCAACAATGGACTAATTTAAGAACATGGGATATGAAAAAGTGTGGATCCTGTGCTAAATGAATCATCAATAAAGGAACCAAATAGTGACTCAATCCATAGTGATCAGATTTAACAAAAGCATCCAATTAAGCAGTTTCCAAAAGCAAACAAGTCATAAATTACAGCAAGCAATTTATCAATAAAGCATAAAGAACTGAATTTATACACACCTCTCCCTAGAATTATCAATTCATTCATCACTCAAGTGTCTAAAGGATAAGTGTATAACTCAAACTTTCACTGAATCAATACTACTATAGGCTTGGTCATGTTCTCATTCTCCATAGTCAAGTAATATGCACAAAGATCAAGAAATCTTTCTTAGGATGTAATGGGGCCTGGCTAATGGGAGGATAATCAAGAAATAATGTAGCTAAAGAATCGAAAGCAAAAAAATCATGGCATAAGTGCAAACACATTCTTTAACATACAATCTCCTTCCTCATTTTTCTTTTTTAGCATTTTTATGATTTATTTTTCTGCATTTTCTTTTCCAACCCCTATACTTTTCTTTTTCATTTTCATTTTATCTTTTTTTTCAATACTTTTATTTGCACAAAATTTAAAAAGCAGCACAAAATATAGTACTATATATTTTTTTATTCACTATTTTCTACCTTTATTTTTTCCCAAGTTTTATAACCTTCTTTTTTTACCACTAAGCATCACAAGATATAAAGCTTATGCTTACACCCTATTATGACAAATCTTCACTACAATCCTATCTAAGGTAGAGATGTCTGTGTGGAGTGGCTAATTAAGATAATAGGTTATTCATAAAGAAATAGGTCTAGGCTAAACGAGCTAAACTAAGGATAGCATAATAGGTGGCATGTTCGCTAAGTAGCTAAAACAAGAAAAAATGTCTCAATCATATCAATAATGCATATTATCAACCATCTTGAGGAGACACAAAGCATGTTCTAGAGCATTTTCAGTAATAAAGTGACCACCGAAAAAAAAAATTCTATTTAGGCTCAAAAACCTCGCAGCTATGGGTGCATGATTCAGCTAACTACACTCTTTCGCAATTACTCAAGATGTAATCCTAATATTTATGCTGGCTCTTAGACTTACTTAATCAGTGCTCATTCAACCTAATCAAACATGAATGCAAGTCATCACACTATGAATCAAAACCACTGATTGATTCCCCTATCAACTCTTTCATTTTTGCACGATCTCAACTCAACAACAAATCAATCAAAGGGGAAAGAAAGAAAAATGAAAAAAATTAAATAAGAGGAAAAATAAAAAGAAAAATCCCTATTTGTCTGAAAAAGATTTGCAACTAACGCATTACAGGGATAATTACTACTGTATAATGGTGTGCAAACATGAATGCAAACACTATGAATCAAAACCATTGACTGATTCCCCTATCAACTCTTTTACTTTTGCATAATCTCAACTTAGCAACTAATCAATCAAAGGGGAAAAAAGAAAAAGAAAAAATAAAATAAGAGGAAAAGTAGAAAGAAAATTCCCTTTTTGTCTTTAGCTACATTATTCCTTGATTATCTTTGTTGGACAAGTGGCTTCAATACACAAGAGGGGGGTGAATTGAGTTTTACAAAATCTTTTCGCAAAGTGTCTCCTTTGATATTTTAAAGACTATTTCTTCAATAAAGTGATTTAATAAGGAAAAATCTAAGTGTGAGAGCAAATGTAGAGATTAACAAAGTAAGCAAACGAATGGATAAAGACAATCTAAAAAAGCAATTTCAATACTTAAGTAAAGAGGTAAAGGTTAGAGAAATTGCAAATAGATGTATCCTGGTTCGGTCACCACCACCGTGACCTACGTCCAGACTGAAGCCGCTAGATCAATTATTTTCACTAACTATCAAGCTTGAGGGTACTGACAAATCTCTACAACCTCTCAAGACTTCGGGCTCTTGATGCCTCACAATTTTTCACTCCAAATTTTCTTAGGAATTTGGTGACCTCTCTAGTATAGGGTTCACTCCCCTCTCAATTCAAGAAGTAAGATTCAGGTGATTAAAAGTGGCTAAGTACTCTCAAAGTACAGATTGCACAAATTGAAGAACTAATAGATGTATAGCTTCAAAGGAAAGATGAGCTCAAGTGTATGCAATGAATAAAGTAAGTAATCAATGAGCAATAATAGGCTAGAATGAGTAATAAAGGTTCAATAAATGATCTATGGTCGTCCACTGTTCATTACTGTTGATGTGGGTATTTATAATG